AAAGGTGACCTATCATGCAAAATGCACTTTTGTACGTCTTTTATACATGAATATGTGTCCCCGGTGTTCCAGGGAACTCACCAAGTGTCAGAAAACACAACCCTCTCTATTTTCCTCCATACCCAAATCTCTTAAAAAGGGGCTGCAACGGATCTGATACAGACTGATCCAGATTTGAACACTTCTATGACGTCACAGAAGTGGCGCTACGGCTATTGGGCCAACTCCACCAATCAGGAGGAGACAGCCACGGACATTGCTGTTCGAAAGCGCTGGAGACGCTGTAGTACATATGCCAGGCCTGTAGATGGTGCTGTTCTCACAGAATCAGCCCATGCAAAGACAGTGTTAAATTGAGCGAAATGAGGAATGGCTAAAATGCATGATCTGTTTGGTATTTTGAAAAATAAAAAGTATAAATATGCCTTATATAGGTATGGTCCTACACTATATTATTCAAATATAGCATGATATGTCCACTTTAAGCATTACGTTTTTACACTTTCTTAAAAAGGTCAGATTGATGGACCCTATACTTTAAAAAATATTTTTCAACATTAATTCACAATTTAGATTTGTACATTTTAAGTCTCAGTAGCAACATTGATGACAGTGTCAATATACACTTCCAGTTACAACTGTTATTTTTTATTATTTTGTTGTTCACAATCAATTCCAACACCCAATGTTGTTCCCTTTGTAAAGCATGACCAATGACTTTGAGAGGCTGCCAAAAATATTGCTGAGTCGTCTGCATATATATATATATAAGATGTAGACGCCTTGATTTCTCCATTAACTCATCCATCCTTTTGAAAGCTGTGCCCTCTACTTTATACTTTGCCTGAGTACATCTTTGGACACATAGCTGAAATACATGAACAATAGAGGGACATACTTTATATGCAAGTTTATAGTATAGTTTATCATTATATTTCTCTCTGCAGAAACAGTTTATTCCTTGAAAAGACGATATTTTTCGATAAATTCAAGAATTGTTTAATCTCCTTGTCAAACATAGGGTTGCACAGTGAGTCTTCAGTCAATATTGTGTATTGGTTGTGGTTGAAGATAATTGAGAGTGGGTAGCTGTATAGGGTATCCTTTATGTACAAAAGAGGCACCACCCTTTCACCTGGCAGATGTTCTTTTAGCACCAACACATTAATAGACAAGGGGCAAGCAGTAGTCTCTGAGCTTTTAGAATACATTAACTATCCTCATTGTCAAAGACTGTCAAAGCTGCCTCTGTCCTGTCCCGCACTTTTCCAAATGTGCCCTTTCACCTACTTTTCTCATATGCTTTCGGGGCACAGGTGTAAATGGTTGCCTTAAACTACTGGAACTGATACTCCCCATCTCCTGGGCTTAGTGTGAGTTAGTCCAAACTGTGAATAGGAAATATCCCGGAGCATACAGTAAGGATTCATTTGCAGAGGAAGGATTACATTAGAGGGAAGCTGATAGAGGTGTGCGTTCTAGACCAGGGGTGTCCAAACATTTTTCACTGAGGTGAGCAAAATCAATCAAATGTAGGTCAATTTTGTTTGATAATTGAATATGCTTTAAGAAAAAAAACAGCCTACATTGCAGCTGTCCATAGGGTTTCATTTATTTCATTACAAAAAGTGTTGGCGGCTTATCCCATAAAACAGAATCCTCAGATTGCTTATAATGAGGGGAAATAGGAAGGGTGTACTTCCAGCTTGTTATACAAATAAGTTATTTGGCTTCTTCTTTTTTTTATCAACTACCATAGTTAGAAAAAGGTTTTCAACTTGATTTGACTACATTTATTTGAAAATGGGGCTTATTATAAATACTGTAATATATTTTCACATAAATATTTAAGAAATACAATATAAGAGAAGCACTTTGTAATGTGTGAGCCATTGGCCCTTATACTTTGGAATTTGCTGCAGGCCAATACAAAATTGACCATTGGCCGCAGGTTGGCCCCCGGGCCGTAGTTTGGACACCTCTGTTCTAGACCCATGTCACAGCAAGGTGAAACAATGGCATTACTTTTAATCCATGTCTGCGTCCCTTTAGAAACCGGTTTGTGTTAGCACTACTGGATATCAGATGAATGCCTTTCATCTCACATCTACACTTCAGAACTGTATAACTGTTTTAATTGTTTTCTAACAATAGTGCCAGTGTGCCTGTTTTAAACCTGCTCAGCAACAACGGACCATAATTGAGCCTAATCCATCGTCTGCGTCATCTGAAGCCTTTCTAGGTTTTGTGTTTGGAGTTCTTTCATCATCTTGGGCGAGGAATCTTTGTAGCATGTGTGTTTGCGTATAAATATATACCAGTTGCTGAGGAACGATGCCTTTCGCCCTGCCAGTTGCTGGAGGCAGGTTTTCATTCTTCCTGCGAGACAGAGGTGTGAAAGGTTAGCTTGTGGAGTCAGATGGGTGTTTATACTGGGATGATGATCAGATGCTGCCTGCATCACCATGGAAGACACCACGCCTTTGTCTAAGTTTAGCCTTGTTTATGTACACTTAACTTGACATTTTCTCCTCAGCTTTCAGCCCAAGGCTTCCTCTCAGACTTGATTCCAGTTGTGCTGAAATGTCATGTATTGACTCAGGTCAGAGAAAAACAGCTTTCTACTGTAACCCCTGTAAATCCAGTGTCTAGTATTTTTTGTGGTACATTTTCTATTTAGATCACTACTGGTATTGATTACTGATAAAGATACATAATGATGTATATCATTAATTTTATGTGAGTTATTGGTTTTCATTTTTCTCATTGTTTTATCTTTGTGTCACCTAAATATATATATACTCAGATATATCATTTAAATATATTTGTATACAAGTTCGCCATAACCTTTTTAAAGACTGTAACGAGACAAGCACCAACAGTGCTTGACAACAAATAGACATATTTAAGTGTAGTTTAAAAATAAAAACATCACCATAATGATTTTTAATTTTCCATCACAAATAACAGGAGACTAAATATAATATTTCTTTCTTCAATGCAGCAGTTCTATCAGGACTACGACCAGCAGAATAAACAGCACAGTGAGGAGAATTGCAGAAACCAAGTTAAAGTAAACAATATCAACAACAACAACATGGCTAGGGAGGAAGAATCAAGGTTATATTTTGGCTAGACTAGATTGAGTAAAATGTTTATTATAATCTGATGACTAAAATGTCAGCAATTTTCATTGACTATACTAAAATAGTTTTATAACACTGAATTACCTTAGGTTAACTAAAACTTGACAAAAAGAATAAATATATAATCATACTGTGTATATATACATACATTAGATACAGGACCTAAACTAAGACTAAAACAAACAACATAGCGGACAAAATAAACATTAGTGCAGAGTATCAGATATGACCATGCTTGTGCGATGTCTTATGCCCCTCTATATTTGTGGTGACTGGATCATTTGAGTGGTAAAGGCAGAAGGATTTAGATTCGCCATTAATCAGGATCAGTGTCCGTCTGCTAAATGATCCGGACGAGACCTTGCAGTCCCCGAGCCACTTTCCTTATTTCCAGCTCCCCTCCCCTGCTTTCTAGGAAAACCGGTCTCTCAACACTATCACTCTCTCTTTCTGCGTCTCTTGATCTCAAGTACCCCCGGTCAGGCCGCTACGCTTCACTGCCCTCCAGAACACACACTGTGAGATTGGGGTTATGGGGGAGGTGGGTGGAAATGGAGCAGAAAGATGCATGTCACATGAGAAACAAATGTCTCTCCTCTCGGCTGGGTAAAGGGGGGACCATTGGCTTCAAAGGGCCTTAAAACGTTTACATCTTTCTTTGCATACTGATGCAGCAACTCTTTCACCCTAACAATCCCAGTGCTCATGGACCAGTACTGGGTCTGAGAGCGAGAACTCAGGTAGTGTAACTAAGTTAGCTTCCTGAATTTGGTGTTTGATAGAAAATCATAATACTCAAGAGTCAGCCCATCAAACCATCCTAATTCGGTAAAGATTGATCCAAATGTGGAAATGGTTACTGAAGTATCGTAAACAGGCTTACCTTTCTTGATAAACACAATTGAGCATGTCACATTGAAGGAATCTATTCTACTTCACTGCTAGCTTTGTCAAAATGTAGCGTATTATAGAGGAAAAGGCATTTGTTTGCTCTGCATGGAAACATATATTACATCATTCTTATTTACAAAGAGTCTTTGTGTTCACAGATGGGATTTTCTCATGCAATTGTTTGCCTAATATTGTAACAGCAGCTCAAGGTATTGTGTTGTTTTCTCTGAAAATAGGGAATATTATATTATCCGGTGCTATCAGAAAAACATATGAGGTGATAGAATATGCCATATCTGAGGCACTCATGTCAGACCACAGCGTCGCTATTAAGCACTTTGTCAGACGCATTTGGGAAGTGCTCTCTACCAGGCTAATCCGATTGGCTAGATTGATTAGCAGTTAAAAGCCTTTCTTCCTCTGGTCGGAGCATTCCGTTCCAAATGCTGCCAAGTGGGCTATCTTCAGCTGAGCTGGCCCACCGGATCAGTTGGTGCCAGGCTCGCTTCCTGTGTAGGGTTTCACCGGGCGCGATCAATACATGCAGACATCTAATTGGATGAACACTGACACTCACATTTCTCTTCTCTCCACTTTATGGGCCAGGGTATAAAAGCTGAATATGGGTTTAGATGAGTGTCCTGTCAGTTACAGTAGGTAAGATAACAGCAGAGTTTATGGGAATGCAGTGTGGAAATAAGCTGTATCATTTTTTTTTGTCTGTGTCAATTAAGTGAACTTAATGTTATATGATGGACACTGATTGCATGTAACCCTGCAAGTGCTTGACTGTAATCTCTGATGCTGAAAGCCTTGTTTAACACCCTGTTCTCCCCCCTTTCTCCCCATTTTCCTCTTTTCTTTCCCTTTGCGACAGAATGACCAAGTGTGACATAAAGAACTACCTGGAGAACATCTATAATGTCCCTGTTGGAGCAGTTCGCACCAGGATACAGTTTGGTAAGTGTGTTCAAATACATTCAAGGAGCTGTATTATTTACACAACTTGGAGTTATTGACATTACCTCATGAGATATTTGTATTTCTCATAAACTAACTGATAGAATGGATTGAAGTTGACTTGCTCTTGCGTCATTATCACAGGAGAATATCTATTTATTTTTCGAAATGAGTTGGTTTGCAGGATAGATTACGTATTGCTCCTTTTTTGGACAGCGACTGCTCCATAGCTGTGGGAGCTTCATGCTGCTGCTAGGTTTGGTGTTTCTTTCTGTTTGGGTCTGTCCGGGTCAAATGCATTCTGGGTCGGGTCTGATTATCCTTGCGTCTTTCCAAATTGGCTTTGACTGTCCCCAGGTTGGTTTCAGATGACGTTCATAACTTCAAGCTCAGATAACATTAAGATAATATATTCATGAGTGACAGTTACCAAGGCACATTTCCAGATAATTGTAGACAGTTTTCTCTAAAATATCGACACACACACACAGAAATTATAAGGACATTTTAAGTTAGTTCAATTCCCACAATTCAATACCATATTATTCCTGTAAGAGCAATTGTATGCAGCATTACAGATTTGTTTCTCTCGGGCCCAGTATAGGTCTGTGGTATGTTATGGATTTAGCTTTATTATTGTTTCCAGTATGAAACTCATTTTATTTACTGTAAGTGGACTGAGTACGAGGAGAAAAAAACCCACAATACAGACTTTATAGCCACAGGCACTAACATTATGACGCAAAAAGCTAGCAATTGAAGAACATAACACAAAGCATGACTGTACATCTATGTAAAGACATGGAGTTCTTCCAACTGTTCGGAGAGAGTGTTAAGGCGGTGATGAAAACACTTGATTTACGGAATGCAATACCAAGCCACAAACATTTCATCTGAATTTAAATCCTAAAGTTTTACTGCAGCTGCTGTGAGTAACTGAACAAATGGTACACATGCACAAACACACACGCACTCACGCACGCACGCACGCGCACGCGCACACGCGCACACACACACACACACACCCGCCATCTTAGTTTTTCACTGTTTGTCAAACTCTGCCTCTTCGCTGTAAAGTATTTTAAAAGGTAATTTGATGACTTGTTAAAAATAAGTGACCTCAGATTCATGCAATAAGATGGCTTTGTGAAGTAGCTACAATTCATGTTACCATGGATTCCAGATACAAAATGTTCACAGAAAAAAAAAAAAAAGTCAAAATTGCACGACTTGACTCTTTTGAACAATTTAGTTATTAGTTTGTAAATCTTGTGGAAAACATTTAAGCTTCATGATATTTCTTTTGTTCAGATGAAAATATATAAATAATATTATGGTTACAGTGTGCGAAAAAGCACATGTCCGATCGTCCAGGGCGTGTTATTTACAATATCGGACAAGTACATATTTCCATTGATTTCGCCCATATTTATTGACAAATTATTGATAAATTCAGCTTACAAAAAAGGCAGAACACATTTGCAAATTGTCCCTGCGGACCGCAGCTCTCTCTCCATGCTCCGGATCAGCTGATCGGTGCAGCTCAGCCTCTCTCTCTCTCTCTCTCTCTCTCTCTCTCTCTCTCTCTCTCTCTCTCTCTCTACTCTACACACTAGACGACACACACACGACACTACACACACACACACACTACACACACACGACACACACACACACACACACACACACACACACACTACACACACACACACTACACTACTACTACGTACTACGTACGTACGTTACGTACGTACTACGTACTACTACTACTACTACGTACTACTACTCTCTCTCTCTCTCTCTCTCTCTCTCTCTCTCTCTCTCTCTCTCTCTCTCTCTCTCTACACACACACAGCGGATCCGCAAACTTTCTTATGTTCTTTCTCTAACAAGTAATAAAGGTTATTAAGTGATTTAGTTCCTATGTATTTAATATTGACCGCTATTTGCTTTATGAAGTGAACCAGCCTGTCTGTCTGTCTGTCTGTGTCCTCGCGCTGTCCTCACATCCCGGACCCCCAGACTCAGAGGAGCACAGGGATGTCAGTATTGTTTATCAAGCTGGGTATAGAAAGTACATTTATTGAAATGAAAATACTATTTATTTCCTTTTACAAATAGTGAGCAGCTGGGCAGCTGTAGCATATGTGTTGCAGGACATGTATTGGAAAGACTGTGTGGTTGGACTCTGTCTCACAGGCAGGTTGCAGTGTAACATCAGAGGAGACTGGGCCAATTGTACATTCTCAAACTGCACCATTTAGGACTAACTAAACAATGCAGAGATTATTTTTATATCATTTTATTCAATAACCGTAACAAAATGAAACTGTATGAAGTGATTCGTAAATAGGAATACAGATTTGACTTAATGTTTTCATAAATATATTTTTCTCCCAGTGAAATTGGCATGGGACTTATTTTTACCCTCTCAAAGAACCGGAATCAAGAACCGGAATCGAAAAGCATAACCGGAATCGTTAAAATCCAAACGATACCCAACCATTGATGTATAATAAGAGCCCAACCCTATGTGTGATGCAGTAAAATCTTACCGCTCACTTACGTTAGCGGTGTCGTAAAACCATGGGAAAATGTCAAATACGATGGGCCTGCGAAGAAGAAGATTCCAGTGGCCCGGACAAGTGAAAAATGTATTCGGACATGTACATTGCCAAACTCACTTGTCCATGGACAAGTACTCTCTAAAAAACTTTTTCTTACACTGGGTTATTTTCTCTGTGATCATTGCGGTTATGTCCATCCCATTGTTGTGTCAGTCGACAAGTTTGTTAATGAAATGTTGGATTGTCGGATTCACAGAAATGTAATTCTTTCTTGGAAAGCATAAAGTCTTATTAATTCTGTCTTTGAGAGACAAGCTGGTGGTTATCCGGGATTAGCAGTTCCAGATCGCGATGTAGGCATTTTCCCGTTGACATGCAGCAGCGGGAGTGTTTTCCAGCGGCTAGTTGCGGTAGTGGTTAGCGTGCCTGGCTCTCCTTTCCCCCTAACACACACAGCTGCTTATCTGACAATCTGCTGCTGCAGCATTCCAGCCTCCAGCTGTCCCAGGACACCCCACGCTCCCTCCGCACAAACACATACTATTCACTTACAAACTTGCAGCTTCGGGACCCTAAGTGCCCCATCTTCTCCGCAGTCATCCCAACCCTCTGCCCCTTGTCAAGGATGATCTAAGCCTACAGTGTTATATCATTGACTAAATAATCCTCTTGACTTTTTATTAGGGGAGGTAACTGAGTTAGCATGGACTGATTTGGGGGCTCCCTAAAAGTCAAGGAATTTGCGAGTTCATGGAACAACATAAGTAGAGGACATAGGGGCGGCTTGAAGTTGGAGAGACACTGATGGATGTGCTGAAAAGAGGAGGCACGCGCTCTCTCCATGCCGGCCACGAGGAGCCCCCTCTACCTCTGGAGGAGAGCCTAGGAAGGAGAAGAGGGGAGAGGCGTCTAGCTTAGCCTAGCCTACATTTTGGAGGACCCATTAACGCTGTTTATTAGGGTTCTGTCATTAAAAGCTAGAGGAAAAGGAAAGCCCCTCGGGAGGGTGGGTGGAAGGAAAGCAGTGAACTGTGGGGGGACGGAGAAGAAAGGGCGGCTCAGGGCCCCCGTTGATCCCAAGGTGCGTCAGAGAAGGTATCCCTGTCTGCGTCAGGGGTTCCACTCCATTGGCAGCGTAAAGACGGCAAGAGGCTGAGGAAAGCAAGGGGCGCAAACGACCCTTTCTTTCCTCCATGGGCGGCAAGGGTATTTTGGAACGAGTTGCCATGGTTACCCCTCTGGCCTGGGATTTGTAACGTGATAGCTGGCTGCCAAACCGCAATCTCAAAGTGGGAGAAATTGTGCTTACGTTTGCGAGTGTTGCATGAAAGCTCTGTCTGTGTGTCCGTATGTGTTAGGAAAGGGCTACGAGAATTAAGAGAAACACTTTGTTCCTTTTTCAAGGTGTGTGTCTTGTGTGTGTGTGTTTTATGTTCATCAGGGACAGGTCAGTGTCTTACCTTTTATCTTTCAAAGGTTCTAGCATTTCCCTGTGGATTTCCTCAGCAATCACACAAAGACACATACACAAACACACACACTAATACATACACACACAGAGGCAAACACTCTTCGTTACCTCTGTCTCACACCCACACAGGGGCCTCCAGTTAGCCAGGGGGGCGTGTGGGGGTGTTTTAAAACCCTGCTCAGGGCTTTCCCTTAGCAGTAGGCTGCCTGGCTAGTGATTACTAGCTGCACATACAACGCACACACACACACACATACAACGCACACACACACACACACACACACACACACACACACACACACACACACACACACATATACACATACATATACACATACACATACACATACACATACACATACACATACACACATAGACATACAGACACACATACACACATAGACATACAGACACACATACACACATAGACATACAGACACACACAAGTGACTCATTACAGCGGAATGTTTCCCTTGTTTTTCATGTCATAAACCGTTCCCACGGCAATGGCAGTTACTCAGAGGGCCTGTTGACTTGACCACCAGGGTCTCATTGAGATTAGAGTTTAAGGCCGAGATGAAACATGATGCTGTGGTTATTATCCGCAATTCATAGTAGTGTTTTTGTCCTAGCGTAAAGATTGAGATAACATTGTAAAGTGCCGGTAAATTAATATCATTTTAATGTATTTATTGGAAGCCAGACTGCACACGCACTGAGCAGCTCCCAGAGTCCCCTGTCCTCCAGGCTTAGAGAGGTCCGACAGCAGAGAGGTTGATGTTCTCATCATCTTCAGATGGGGAAGAGGTTAATCTGACCTCAAATGTCAACACGTTAAAGCTCTGCTTTACTTCACATACACACAGATTATTCCTTGGGAAAAAAATATGGTATAATATTTGTTATTCAGATAAAGGATGAAATATAAAATTGCTTTACAGGTTAATATAAGGAGTGCCTTGGTAATTTTGCTAACTTTCACCTAGGTGCGGAATGAAATCCCACAATCCTTTACTATTAATCATTCTGATTTTCATTCTAATTCATCGTTATCCCTCGACATTATACATTTGGTCTTAATATTACAAAAAATAAATGACAAATGTCCATTATTATGACTTGAAATCCGAGGTGATTCCATTAAATGACAAGTGTTTAATCAACAATCAAAAACCCAATTTTAGGACAAAGACTAAATATCTACAAATCTAGATTTGTAATGTTGGAATGATTAAATGTTTTGCATTTTTGCTTGAAAAAATGTATTCAGAAATGTTTGCCATTTCATTTAGAAATCCACTAATTGTTGTGGCTCTGATAATGATTATCATTACATTAGAGTTCATATTGTTACACAAATGCATTGTCTCTTCCAGTGAATGGAATACCTCTTCAATTAACATACTCAATACATTATAGCAAAAATCATGCTCATCTTTTTGCTACATTGTCCACCAAGACCCTTTAGGACAAGTTACCTCATTATAGGCCGCATTGCAAAGTTTCTCCAAGATGAAACACTTCCATGGTCTCAACGGCATATCGTTATGTTGCGAAACTTTACTCTCACCATGTTCATAAATGTCACCACCCTCACTATGTCGCACGGTCTGCTTTCTCACAACCACACTCTCACACTTAGTCATGCCTGTTTACCAACAAGTACAATAACGGCTGTTCTTCGTTTTATCAGGCTCCAACAAGAAGAGGAATCATCGAAACCAGAAGATCAAGCAGCCTGACTACAAAGTAGCCTACGTTCAGCTGGTGAGAACACACACACACACACACACACACACACACACACACACACACACACACACACACACACACACACACACACACACACACACACACACACACACACATCTCTGACATGTGTGTGTCATTCATGCATGCACAACCCCATACGGAATTATGTTTTTCCGTGAGTGTCATTCGCTCTATAGTCCCAATCACGTTGCGGTTTCCTGAACGTCGCGGTTTTCTGAAGTCATGCTCATTTGACGGGGAACAGCGGGCAGATGCTGGCTCTTTGTGCTTAAAATGGCTTGATATAAAACCGAATATCCGGCCTATTTCTCTGGCCGGTTTTTGGAAAAAACATGCTCTCAACTTCTTTTCCTACCCCACTCTCCCTCTCTTGTGTACGCACACACACATTTACACAAGCGCGCACACACACACAGCCCCAGAAAACCCTCCTTTCTTTTGCAGTGGTGGGTAGAAAACAAGATTGTTCCTAATTGACTCCACATGTGGGAGAGTGTTCTGTGGGTCGATGCTCACACCACGGTCCCCCCATTCTCCCCTCATCCTTCCCTCTCCCCATTCTCTCCCCCTGCTCCCTCCATCCGCTAACATTGCAGCAGTACTATGTTTGCTCCCTCTCTCTCTCTCTCTCTCATTCCTTAGTCTTGGTTTGTGGTTGAGGGGAGGCCTCCCGTTAGCGGGGTTCCGTGACGGCCATTTTCCTCAGGCTTAGGGGGGACCCCAGTAACAGGGAGAGAGATAGCGTCTGCATGTATGAAATGTGCACTGTGTGTGTGAGGGGCTCACACAGGGGAGGCGACTAAGGGCATGATGGAGTCATGCCAGAGCAGGGAGGTCCAGAGCCGGGGCAAAGTCATCAGGGGGAGGAGAAGAGGATGTGTGTGTGAGTGTGGGATAGGGTAGTGGTGGTTGGGTGACAAAAACAGCAGTACAAAATGAAAATCTTGAGTCTATCAGACTGCTTTTAGGTCTGGCTGCACATCAATGGCACTGGTGTGTGTATAGAGTCCGACAGCTTAGCCCATTTTCGCAGTCACCTCATACGGTTCCATTCATTTAATGCTGTAAAGGCTGCTGTTGGAATACCTAATTGTGCATTGCACTTTTTTTACCTCCGTTACAGACATTACTTCACGTACAGTAGGAGTAATTCGATTTTCTGACTCACATTGCCTTTTGAGTAATAACATTTTCCTCAGGTTTTTAGGAACACTCTACTGTTTACAAAGACAGTTACATTACTTTCATTATCATGAAATCCTGTTGCATTTTTGTAGAAAATCTGTTAGAAAAAGGCTTTTTTGCATCTTCATAATGCATGTCATACCTTGTGGTTTACCCGAATTCAAATGATCTTGGCACATTTCACAGCTAAAGTGCGCCATGCCACCATTTCCATTTGAACATTTTGTAAACCAAAGAAAAAATAAAACAATCAACCTTTGAAATTAAAGTCATTTTTAAAGGATTTGAGTCATTATTCAGCAAGATTATTGTCAGTCAAACATGTATTATTAATTCCTCTCTGCATGGCGTGTAGATAAAAAGGCTGTGGTGGGTTATGGTCAGAGGGGGGGTTGGTTATGTTCTCTCTTTGGAGTGGCAGCTAGTTTGCAAGAGAGCTCTGGTGGCTGGTGCCAGCTGCAGCACTCGAGCAGGCTGAGTGCTCAGAGTGCATGTTGAAAGCTCCCAGAGGGTGAGGCTGTGAATATATGAATGGGATGCCTGACCAGTGTCAGCTTTTCTGAATGATCCAGTTTAGTGCCACATTATGCTGTAAATGTCAAATGCATGCTATACAAGTTACAAGCTCTAATCAGCAGATTGTTTGCAGCTGGCGAGTTGATCCTTCCAACAACATGTTGGGTTTTAACATTACAAGATTCTCTAAGACATCTTTGATACTTTTTTTTTTTTTTATTCCAAGTAGTAATGTGGTTGAATTTTCATTTAATTTAAAAGACATGAATTACATTTGGAAACATTTTAAACTTTTTCTAATTTAGCTTGTTAGATGGTGAGTAAATCTCACCCATCATTTTTGATTGATGTTATCCGTGTGAAGAAAAGCATTTAAGACATTTTCTCTGACGTTTTCAGATGAGTTTCAAAGGGAGGAGCATCAGTTTGTGTTTTCTGCGTGTTGAGCACCGCATGGCACGTCCAGGCACCTGCTGGATGCTTTCAACCATTTAGCAGAATAATCAACACTCGTGAACCGTTGTTTGACAGTCTGTATACACCTCGCTGGGAATCTGTGAGCATCGTCGTCGTCAGTCCGTGCTTTTGTGGGGTGTGGTAGCACAAATCCCACACAAGCTCCATTCCACAGAGTTTATCAGTAGACAAAAGCTCACTTCATACAGTCAGCGGAGAGTCTGCGTAAGGGCGAAAGCAGTGAAAGTAGATGATGAGTGGTAAACTTTGCAGCAGATGGAGAGCAGTTGCACAGATGGTCTAGGGTGTTGTCACGATGCCGACCTTCATCTAGTGAACAGCTAGTTGTGGTCACACATAAACCAATGATGTCATTATTTTTGATAGTAGTCACGATCATGTGCTAAGGACTGCTTAGATCCATTTATACATATCCTAAACTCTTTATCTTTTTAAATGTTATTTAATATTATGTCCGGTGTTTTTTCAATAGTGTGTTTGTCTGGAAGTCCATATAAATGTATGCGTACATTTTAATTGGTTGTATTTTCTTGCTTGGGTTACACATTTTCTCGCAGTGAAAGCAGACGGTTTCACACAAATATGGCATTTTAGCCACTAGAGGCTTGTTATTGTTGGTTGTAAGCCAAGTTTGCAAAGTAGTAAATAAGGTGTCAAGATGTTCCTCCAGTGCCCCGGCCCCTGAAGGCACGCTGTACCAGTAGCAGCAGTCCTAAGGCTCGGTTCCCCATGGCAACGTCCCGACCTGCCGACCACAAAACAAAACAAACGGGGTTGGACCAACAGTTGTAGAATAAGTAGTAGCTTCATTCAAATTGCTAATTTCCCGTGTTTCTTTCTGTCGCTTTCTCCACCCCCGCTCCATCCACGGGGAAGGCATCACTTGAAGTGAAAGGGAGCGGGAAGTGAGAGAGGGAGAGAGACAAACAAACAGAGGGAGAGCCTGAGTGGCAAACATGGAGGAGTTGTGACACAGCTGAAAAGAAGGGGCGGGGGGGTTGGGGGAACAGCTGCATTGAGAGGGAAGCTGTGGCCAAATCTGGCTCTCCTCTGTTTGACTGACACTAGATGGCAACGTTTTGCTGCACAGCTTCTCTCTTTAGCCGCTCTTATCGCCTATCTGTTATTGACTCGTAGCTGCTTAACAATAGACCCACTTGGGTTGTGTGTTAGATTGTATGCCTATCTGGCTGGGGTGGAGGTGGGGAGGGGTACAGGATAGGATCCCCATGACCCCCCCTTCCGTGTTCATGTTCTCTGCTCTGAGCGAAGCCCCGGCTCTCTGAAGCTGAAGGTGCTGATTCAGGGGGTTGGGCCAACGGGGAAATCTTGCTTATCTGTGTGGAATTTTATTATTTTCAACTATTTGGATCATGATGTCTCCCGCTCTCCCTCCCTCCCCCTTCCTCCCTTCCACCTTGTCACGCAAACACAGGCTTTCCTCACCCAGCCTTGTCTGTCTGTCTGCCGCTCTGTTTCCTTCACTTCCCTTTGCTGCCTCACCCTTGCTTATCACGCCAATTAACATTTTTAACTTCTGCCATTTCTCCCCCTGTGCCTTTTTCTCTTCTGTTTGTCTCACAGATTTATCAAATGAACATTGTTATTTCAATCCATTCCACTTCTAATTCTTACATGTTAATGCTTCTTCTGTATGTTGAGCTGCTGTTCAGTAGAATACAATAACAAGGTGCTGAGACTCAAGTCATTTTTCATAGCATAGGGCATTCCTTATGTTATTCCTTGTCGTACAATACGTAAATTAAATAGCATGTCGGGTCATCTTCACTACTCTGAATATGAATATTTAAACAAAACACACACATACAAGAAGACCATGGATTCAGAGAATTCCTCTGTCAAAAGATGGTCACATTTTGTACACTTACATGTTGGTTTCTATGTCTGATCTTACACAAATCTTTAATCAATTTATAAAACTCTCTATCGTTTGTATTTGCTGAGATGTTTAACCTCTATGTGGCATATTAATGGTGTTTCTTGAAGCAAAAGCTAAAAATGGCATTTTTCTAAAATCATTATTTACCTTTATGTATCAATGTTAACATGTTGGTAGCAGCATATCAACATATTTCTCTTCAAAGCAGAAAGCAAACAAAAACATCCAATGTCAAAAACCTACTCAATCACCTCAAATATTACCACAAAATCCATTGTTATGAAGCTATCAAGGCCAAGTTTTACCAGAACATCCAGCAGAAAATATCCAATCTGATACTGCCCAAACTGTAGCGTACTCTCTCCAGTGAGCTCATATAGGCCCTGTGATATGACAGATGCAACGTCTTCTTTCTTCAAATGGGAGAGAAATTCTAGAATCAGTTCTCAGTGAGAAAAACTTGATTCTCATTTTATCAAGAGTCATGAAGCCCTTCTTTCACTGTAATGTATCTGTCAGCATTCTAGGCGTCTAAATAGTCGGAAGGAAGGAATGGAATGATACACTAATTATCGTGTGGACAATATATATGGGTGTGCGCACATATGCTGGTGGTGAGCCTAATAAAAGGTGAAGCTTTTTCCTGGCAATCAAGCTTCACTGAAAGGCCCCCCATCTCCCTATGTGTCTCCTGATTTGGAAAATTCACTCCCAAGAAAAATGGTGTGTGTGCATGCGTGTGTGAGTGTGTGTAGATGTTCACTAGAGCTCAGTAGGGACAGAACATGAATTATAGAGACCAGAGCAGGGTCTTCACCATCCGGTTTGGAACATCACACGCAAACCTTTTTTTGAATGGCTTCAGTCGAAGCTGTCTGTTTTTTTTCTCAGACTTTCGACTCAGATCAATTGAGTT